AAAAAGAAGCAAAATCGCATAAAAAAGAATGACTTCTTATAATTTTGCAATTTAATAACATAACATATTTTAAAAGTTGACAAAATAAATGTATTTTACTAAATTGTATTTTATACATTGTAAATCCTAAAGATTTTTTGTCAGAGATCTCGTTCGGCCACTTCGTCTCCGGGACGGCTAAAGACTGACGGGTTTAGGGATTTTTCTTTGCGTCTCGTCACAGACCGACTTTCACCGATTTGTTCCATTCGGGTAGGATCCACAGTCTTCTCCTTTCGGGTTTTTGTTACATCCTCCGAGAGATGATTGTGGCTAGACATGGCCACGGGTCAACCGGCCCGGTCAAACCCGTTGACCACGGGTCCGAGCCCAGCTCGGATTTTCAACCGGGCCGGTTCAGGGTCGTCTTTTTTTTTTACACCGACCCGGCGGGCCGGGCCGAGTCCGGTTCAGCATGGGAAAAATCAATTGTTTTTGAATTTTTCTATTTTTTTTCTTTTAATTTTTCCGGGTCGGGCCTGGCACGGGTTTAGGGCGTTCCGGTTCAGGGTCGACAAAACCCAACCCGGTGGGCCGGGCCCTGAACCGGCCCGCCATTTGGCCATGTCTAATTATGGCCTTGGGCTGCAATTGACCTTTGCCTCTGTCTCTGGTGGGATTTTCGTCATTTTTTGCCGGTGTTTTGAGTAGGTCTAGCGCCGGCAGGGGTGGTAGTACTTGTGATGCCGACATAATGATTTGTGGCACAAGACCTGCCATTCCATTTAAAAATCTAGGATTTTGGAACATTGTCCTGAAATCTACAGCGGGGGCTATTGCGGCCGATTATGCGGCGGCTTGTGGTTGAGAGTCGCCTTCTTGGCTCGCAGATAGAGATGTTTCCATCGTTTATTTTACCAAAAAAGGAAAGAAAGATTTTCGATGTGTGTTCACAAGTTCGAAAATTGACTTCAAGCAAATTATAGAGCCATGCTTCTAGCGCCAAACTGTTGAAATGCGGATTTGCATCAACGATTAATTAAAGATTATTTATAGATTAGGAAAAATAAAGTCGTGAAATGAAAGTTTTATGATAAGACAAGGGAGTTTTGAATTTGAATGACTTCGGCCTTTGACATGGAGAATCTAGAAATTAAGAGTAGACTGAACTGGACTTTTAAAAACTCATTTCAATAAAAATCACATAATATTTTTTCTTCAAATATTCACTGAAGTACGAGCTTTTACAAAGAAAATTTATTATGCTCATTTTGCACCGTATTTTACGTGCTATCACTACTTTGACGTTGATCCCGTCGATCCTATTTTCTAAAAAATCACAATAACAATGGAGTGTTTCCTTTCTTGGCTGAATGTTGCTGCTTCATGTGAATTTCTAAAGATTTAACACAATACAAATAAATGATATTCTATAGTTATTAGCAAAATGAAATAGCTACACATCATAAATTTAAATCCAAATATGATATACAACAACCACACTAGAGGATTAGAGATTAAACACACACACACACAAAAAAAATAAAATAAAATTACTACTTCATACACAATCAACAAAATAGAAATTGCAACTAAATGATCATAGCAGTTACTATTAAAACCCAAATAGCTCGTCTAAAATGAGATGATAGATAAAGACAATTAGACAAATGAAACAAATATCTAATAGGGAGTTTAAAAATATAACTTATTGTTAAAGAAGAAATTAAATCGCCTTCTTGAAAGTAGTCTCTTTCTTGTTGAATAGTTTTTTTTTTTTTTTTTTGTTCCTCTAAATCCATTGTTCTGGTGTTCAAAGGAGGGGCATGGTCGTGGCTAATTTATTTAATTGGAGTTTGATATATAGTGGTATTTTGTGGGTTTGTGCCGAGTGGAAAAGGTGGATAAAAAATATATAATATTTTATTAAAATGGTGTTTGTAGTCTTTAGATTTAAATCAATAAGTGAATTCGTTTAATGGATTAATGAGTTAGTTTATTGGGATGGGCTAGAAATACAATACATTTTTTCTCAATCTTATAATACTTGTAAAAAAAAAAAAAATAAGGCCTAGGCTTCAGCCCAGTCCAAGCCACACCTGCATTCGTCCTTGGCCTTTGAGTACTTCGAGGCCG